AGACGAGTTTCGCACGTCTTCCACTGCCGGTAAGCAAAAGGGACCAAAAGAGACCAAAACTGGAACTTGGGTCCAAAAGCGCCAGAAAGTGCCAAAAGGGGAGAAGGTGGTGAGAAAGCCTTCCTTTGAGTCCTAGGAGTGATATTCAATGAGTTTCAGTGGCCTGAGACGAGTTTCGCACGTCTTCCTTGCCGGTAAGCAAAAGGGGACCAAAAGAGACCAAAACTGGAACTTGGGTCCAAAAGCGCCAGAAAGTGCCAAAAGGGGAGAAGTGGTGAGAAAGCCTTCCTTTGAGTCCTAGGAGTGATATTCAATGAGTTTCAGTGGCCTGAGACGAGTTTCGCACGTCTTCCCTGCCGGTAAGCAAAAGGGACCAAAAGAGACCAAAACTGGAACTTGGGTCCAAAAGCGCCAGAAAGTGCCAAAAGGGGAGAAGGTGGTGAGAAAGCCTTCCTTTGAGTCCTAGGAGTGATATTCAATGAGTTTCAGTGGCCTGAGACGAGTTTCGCACGTCTTCCTTTGCCGGTAAGCAAAAGGGACCAAAAGAGACCAAAACTGGAACTTGGGTCCAAAAGCGCCAGAAAGTGCCAAAAGGGGAGAAGTGGTGAGAAAGCCTTCTTTTAGTCCTAGTACTGATATTCAAGGAGTTTCAGTGGCCTGAGACGAGTTTCGCACGTCTTCCTTTGCCGGTAAGCAAAAGGGGACCAAAAGAGACCAAAACTGGAACTTGGGTCCAAAAGCGCCAGAAAGTGCCAAAAGGGAGAAGGTGGTGAGAAAGCCTTCCTTTTAGTCCTAGTACTGATATTCAAGGAGTTTCAGTGGCCTGAGACGAGTTTCGCACGTCTTCCTTTGCCGGTAAGCAAAAGGGGACCAAAAGAGACCAAAACTGGAACTTGGGTCCAAAAGCGCCAGAAAGTGCCAAAAGGGGAGAAGTGGTGAGAAAGCCTTCTTTGAGTCCTAGTACTGATATTCAAGGAGTTTCAGTGGCCTGAGACGAGTTTCGCACGTCTTCCTTTGCCGGTAAGCAAAAGGGGACCAAAAGAGACCAAAACTGGAACTTGGGTCCAAAAGCGCCAGAAAGTGCCAAAAGGGGAGAAGGTGGTGAGAAAGCCTTCCTTTGAGTCCTAGAGTGATATTCAATGAGTTTCAGTGGCCTGAGACGAGTTTCGCACGTCTTCCATTGCCGGTAAGCAAAAGGGGACCAAAAGAGACCAAAACTGGAACTTGGGTCCAAAAGCGCCAGAAAGTGCCAAAAGGGGAGAAGGTGGTGAGAAAGCCTTCCTTTGAGTCCTAGGAGTGATATTCAATGAGTTTCAGTGGCCTGAGACGAGTTTCGCACGTCTTCCACTGCCAGTAAGCAAAAGGGGACCAAAAGAGACCAAAACTGGAACTTGGGTCCAAAAGCGCCAGAAAGTGCCAAAAGGGGAGAAGGTGGTGAGAAAGCCTTCCTTTGAGTCCTAGGAGTGATATTCAATGAGTTTCAGTGGCCTGAGACGAGTTTCGCACGTCTTCCACTGCCGGTAAGCAAAAGGGACCAAAAGAGACCAAAACTGGAACTTGGGTCCAAAAGCGCCAGAAAGTGCCAAAAGGGGAGAAGTGGTGAGAAAGCCTTCTTTTTAGTCCTAGTACTGATATTCAAGGAGTTTCAGTGGCCTGAGACGAGTTTCGCACGTCTTCCTTTGCTGGTAAGCAAAAGGGAGCAATACTAGAAGTTGAGTTGTGCGTGTGTTCACTTTCATGAGTAAAAGTGGCCACGCATAATTGCAAAGCTAAAGGTCTCTCTGGAACGTTCACTCTTGTTGACGAGAGTGATCACGCGCTACTCGCTCTGTATGGAGCTTCTCTGGAACATTCACTTTCACTAGCGAAAGTGGTAACGCGCTACTGGGCTGAGTTTAAAGTCCTCTAGAACGCTCACTTTCGCCAGCTCAAACTCCATAAACCTTGTTCTTTGAGTCCAGACTTGCTACTTTTCCTCTATCTTTCCATTGATCTTCCATCTTCATGAACTTTGCTCAAAATTTTCTACAAAAATATGCTTGAATTATTAATTTCTATACAAAAAATACATAAATGCTAAAATAACTATATATTTAAAGAAAACTTTCAATCATTCTATTTTTATAAGTTTTTCTGCTTTTTGCAACATATTTTCTTTATTAAATGGATTAAAACAATAGTAAAATACTAGTAAAAATATGGATTCATCATATACGAGTTAAGTAATAAAGGATATAAAATAATGAACTTTATGTTAGAAGACCATATTGATATTGTACGAGTTAGATTGAGTCTGAAGGTGTCAAGCCTTCGGCATATGATATTGATTGTATAGTGTGATGTTTATAGTAATTTCTGTGTTAGATTGATATATTGTATTGATTGCATTGTGTGATATTGTATGATAACTTTCTATGTTAGACTGGCATGATGCAACAAGTATAGATTTGATTTGATAGCTGAAATGTATCCAATATGAGTAGATTCATAGGAATGATTGAAGTGTTGATTGATTTTGAAAGCATGTGATATATTAATGAGTAATTGGAATATGTCTGAGAAAGAATATGATGCATGAGTCCAAGTAACTTTAAAAGGGTGATTACGATATAAATTATAGCACATTGAAGGGTGTATTATAATATATATTGTGATTCACGAATTTATCTCAATTGAAACATGTATTATGATATGTTGATCAATAAAAAGAATATGGAAATGATAAATGATGAGAAAGAGAAAAAGAATAAGTGTAAATAGTACAACGATACACTGGGTATAGAGTCTGGAGAAGATTTGGGTAATCTTGGGGAAATGAGATGGTGAATGCTAACTGTCAGGCTTGTAATCTATTATTGAGTAATCTATAATATTTCATACTTGTTAAATGTTAATTGAAGGATTATTTGCTATTAGAATAGATTTAGATGGAGTTTGAAATTACTTAAAAAAAAAACGTGAACAATGACGTCACCCTAACGTCACATACACGTATAGTGTGTGTACAGTACGCGTGCACATTGTTTCCGGCATGAATACTATCCTAAACAGTGTTTTCGGCGTGAACAATGTTTAAGGCGGTGAATAATAAATTTAAAAAATTTTCTATAAAAAGGGGGTTTCACACGAAAATTTAATTTCTTCACTCCTATCCAAGGTCCTCAAAGGTTCTAAGGCCATATATCACTATTTTCTCTCATATTAAACCCTCCTAAACTTAGATTTCTCTCCAGATCTGTGATTCTGTGTTCGTTCTAAGGGATTTGAAGTAAGTTTCTTTAAGTTTGAAGCTAGATTCACTGTTTATTTCTCCTCTCCTTCTCTTTCTCATAGAAATTCATGGTATTCTTAGGAGAAACTTCGTTCTAAAGCCAAATCTATGGTAAATCTTGCTATAAAATAAGTAATATTCGGTAGATCTGAAGTGAGTCACCGTTCTAAGGTAAGGGGAGCTTATTTTAGCCTATGAACCATATTTTGAACGGTTGGATATGCTACTACACGAAGTTTTTATATGATTTTGTTAGATCTTTTGAATAAAAGCCATTTTCTAAGCTATAACCACTATTAATTGATTTAAAATGTTAAGATTTTGACTGATCTATCATAAACTTATTTTAGCTAAGATGTTACGACAATTTTAGCGGTGCTGCATCATGTTGAGATATATGTTTTGCATCATTATAGAGATGAGTTACATGTTTATATGGGTAGACGTGTAACGGTAAGTTCATGCTGAGCTGCTGTCTATTCTGTCCGGATCCAGATACAGGAATGGGTCGCTCCTGGACCGGCTCAGTTCCTTCTGGATTACTTCAGCTGTAAAACCAGTTGGAAACCATTTTTCATGTCGTGCATTAGTTGAGATGGTAATGCATGGGGCTGTTGCTATGAGTAATATTTTGCTCTATATATACGATTTCATATTTTTTTGTAAGCTCACCCTTGCATTTCTTTCTATGTCGTTATGTGTGTACTACGACGATTGAGTCGAGTAATTTTGCATCAAAGTCTTTTTTCTTTAAATTTTGAGATCTCATGTAGACGGAGCTACGTAGTATAATTTTGTGTAGTTTGAATATTATGAACTAAGTGTAATATTATGTTGTTCTATTGGATATTTGTTGTAAGAAACTTTGTTTATTTTAAATGAGAAGTGAATGTTTATACTTATATTCTCTATTATTTATGTATCTTAAATAAGTATGTGGTGTAGAAACAATATTGTCGATTCCTTATAAAAGGGGTCGTGACATTTTAGTGGTATCAGAGCATGGTCTAAGTAAACCTACGGGATGAGGTTGTTAGGCGTCAACTCTACATATTAGGCATGTGAGTGTTAGCTGTGAATCATATATCATAATTTCTATTCATCAAGTTGTGAGGGAACGAGCTTGATTACCTCGGTTCTCAAACACGACAGATGTAGAAAACTTGTTATATGATACTTGGGTGAGCTATAGGCGAGTTGTACTGCGTGAATAATAGGCTGTTAAGCTAAGTTGTAAATGATTGCTGAGATAAGTGTGTTTACTATGTTGTGTGAATGCTGATATGATGTTATGCTCAGTGCTAAATTGATTAAATTGTTATGATATATTAAATATGAATATATCACTGTAAGCTGAATCTGTGAATATAGCTATGTGGTGGTATTATTGAATGTGTTAAACATTAGTGATCTAAGCTAGACTGTATATTAGGATTGCTAGACCAAGAAGATCTGCTGCAAACCCTCCTCCTCCTGCTGACGTGAACCAAATGGCTCACGCCATAAAGGCCATGGCAGCCACTGTGAGGCAAAGTCTAGATATGATTCAGCTGCAAACCAAGCTGTTGTTGCAGCGCAGGCAGCAGCAGCTACTGCCTCAGCTGCACCTTCTCCTGAATACCAAGGGTTATCAGAGTTCAGGAAGAATGATCCTCTTTAATTCACGGGGGTGGATGGACCAGATGCTGTTGAACTTTGGATCAGGGAGATTGAGAAGATCTTCCTAACCATGGGTTGCGCCGAGGAGAGGAAGGTGTTATATACTACGTATATATTGACAGGGGACGCAAAGATGTGGTGGCACAAAGCTCGTGCTATGCTGGAGGCCCAAGGTGAAGTCATCACTTGGGCTATGTTTAGAAGTAGTTCTCTGGGGAAGTTTTTTGCTTCTCATGTTCATGCTGCCAAAAAGCAGGTGTTTCTAAACTTGGTGCAGGGAAACTCATTAGTTTATGAGTATGCAATACAGTTTGAGCGGCTCTACAAATTTTATTCTCACCTGACCTCGGAGGAGTGGAGATGTCAGAGGTTTTCAGACGGGCTGAGAACTAACATAAAGAGGATTTTGATCCTACTCAGGATCACGGAATTTGCTGACTTGGTAAATCAAGCCACCATTATAGAGAGTCTTAATGCTGAGGATGTTGGTGGAGTTGGGAAGGCTTTATCTAATAGAGCCGCTAGTAGCTATGGTAATGGAGGTAAGGGTGCTAAGAAGGGCCCCTACAGTCGGTCGCTACGCCAACAACAGTCTTGACTATCTCAGTAGAGGGGATCGGCAGCATCAGCCCCGGTGCCAGTAGGGACTGCTACTTCTTCATTTCAGCCTAGAGGAGCAACTTCTTCCACTCCTAGAGCCTTAGTGCCACAGATTGTCAGATGTTTCAGGTGTGGTGAGCCACACTACCTGAGCCAGTGCCCACAGGCTGATGTTAGGGTTTTCTTCTTGTGGCAGTAGCTAGGGCACCTTGCTAAGGACTGTCCTACGCCTAGTGGGACAATTTCCTCTTCTGCTAGCGCCTTGCACGTTGTGAAGTCTAAAGCGGCTAGAGCTCCGACTACAATCAGATCGAGAGCAGAGGGACGTGTATTCACTACTTCTATATCAGAGGCAGCCCAGGCGATGGATCTCGTTCAGGGGAAGCGGTAGTGGCAGGTACTTCTCTTTCTGTATTGTTTGATTCTGGAGCCACGAACTCTTTTATTGCAGACATTTGTGTGAAAAACTTAGGGTTACCAGTGAGCGATCTAGGATGTGAATTGTTAGTATCAACACCTACTCTGAGTTCGATCAAGACTTCGACAATTTGTGTTAGATGTCCCATAGTAATTGAGGGACGAAGGTACAAAGTAAATCTTATTTGTATCTCGATTTCAAGGTTAGATGTAATCCTGGGTATAGATTGGCTAACTACCAATCGTGTGCTAATTGATTATGGCCTAAGGTGTTTAATCTATCCAGAGCAGCAAGGCTATGTTGAATTTATTCCTACTCGCTAAGTAGAAATATCCTTGGGTGAGGAAGTATCTTGTTTTATTTTGTTGGGTGTTATGAATGCAAAAATTGAGCAAAGCCTTCAGTCAATACCAGTAGTACGGGAATTCCCTCAGATCTTCCCAGAGGATATTCCTGGAATACCTCCATGTACAGAGGTGGAGTTTGCTATAGATTTGATTCATAGAGCTGAGCCAGTGTCTGTAGCACCTTATAGAACGACGCCGAAAGAGTTGATGGAGCTTAAGGAGCAGATTGAGGATCTAATGCGAAAACAGATGATTAGGCTGAGTGTATCGCCTTGAGGAGCACCAGTTCTCTTGGTGAAAAAGAAGGACAGAAGTTCTAGATTATGTGTTGATTATCACAAGTTGAATAAGTTAACAATTAAGAATAAGTACCTGTTGTCGATGATTTGATGGACTAGCTGAGAGGTGCTAAGGTATTCTCTAAGATTGATTTGAAGTCTGGGTATCATCAAATCCGAGTGAAGAATGAAGATATTCCTAAGACCGCTTTTCGCACTAGATATAGCCATTATAAGTATATAGGGATGCCCTTTGGAGTCAAATGCTCCAGTTGTGTTTGTGGACTACATGAATCAGATCTTTAGACCTTTTCTGGATCGGTTTGTGGTAGTCTTTATTGACGATATTTTGATTTATTCTAATTCGTCAAAGGAACATGCAGAGCATTTGAGGACTGTACTTAGTGTTTTAAGGGAGAAATAGTTGTATGCTAAATTGTCTAAGTGTGAGTTTTGGCTAGAGGAAGTGAAGTTCCTTGGTCATGTTATTTCAGCTATGGGAATTGCAGTTGATCCTTCCAAAGTTAAAGCGATATTGCAGTGGGAAAAGCCAAAGACAACCACAGAGATTCGTAGTTTTGTGGGCCTAGCAGGTTACTACCAGAGATTTATAGAGGGATTTGCGAAGATAGCTGCACCATTGACACGGTTAACTCGCCGTGATCAACTGATAAGTCTGTAATTAGGCCCTCTTTTACAGCTCAAATATTCACATTTGACCTTTATTTTATTTGGATTTTACACTAATTTATATATTAATTGTGCAGTTTGGTATAAAGAGACCGCAAGTAGATTTTGGGTGCATTCTGGGCCCAAATTAATAGATTAAAGCTTCGCAGTAGTCAACACGCCCAAACCCTTCCAACAAGCACAGGGGTGTTGCGAGCCCATGCACGGTCGTGTGATGAACGAAATATTTTCTCATTTGCAAAAAGATTTGTCGTCAACCTTCATCAAAATATGCAGAAAAATTTATGTAGTATAGGATGCAAGCTTAGGTCGTCTCTCATGAATCATTGGACGAGTGACCAAATATCAAATATATAGTGTGCAATATATTTAGAAAGCAAGTAAAAAAGGGAGGTTTTGTGATTTCAAGTTCAATCAACATAAGCAGAAAATTAAATTGCAATGTTCAATAGATAAAATGTAGTAACCCCTAGTTCATTCATATAAACTCTATCCCTATTCCTCTCAAGATTTAATACTCTTCCTCTCCTCCCAGAATTAGGTTGATTTAACAAGCGAAAATCAACCTTATGTTTTCATATGAATTAAGCAATCCAATGAACTCCAATCTCTCATTCCTTGATTACGCAATCTTAGAATTAAACAAGAATTAAGCAGTTCAAATTTAGAATTTCCTTAAAATAAAATAGGGTTCATTACACAATGCTCCCCTCATTCAACAATTAACTCAATTCAAGAGTTTGGGAGGAAGAAATTCATGGAAGAAAAAGATTTGCATTAACATTCAAAAACCCAAGAATTCAAGAATCCATATGAACTCACTAGAGATTACAAGAAAATTAACCCTCCATGAAGATGGGTCTCACAGTTACAAAGTGAAAGTAAAGAGAAATCAATAACATCAATACAAAAATCAAAGAGAAGTAAGGAGAAAATGGAAATCAAACCCTAGGTTGGACCCTTGGCTGTCACCCAAGGCCACCCTAGGCTCTCCAAGTGTTCCTAAATTGGTAAGCAATCTTAAAGTGTGTAAAAGCTCTCCTCCCTTACCCTAAATGGTAAAAATTAATAAATAGAAAAGTTGATGCCTTCAAAGTAGTTACTCTCGTTCACGATAGTGAACACTCTCGAGCATAGTTTTTACTATCATTTACAAGAGTAAACACACACGAGCATAGTGATTACTATTATTCACAAGAGTAAACACGCGTAGGATCCTGAACTTTGGGGCTCTCTGGAGTGTTTACTATTGTTTCCAAGAGTAAACATGCGCAGGTCTGGGTGCTTCCTTTGGCTCTGGAGTGATCACTACTATTGCTTCTGAAAGTGGTTACTCTGGCCTGCCCTCTGGATCTAGCTTGCTGTAGTGTCCACTATCACTTCTGAAAGTGGTCACTTTCAACTCAAAATTTCTCAAAGGCTAAAAATCCATGTAATGAGTCTAGAAATTCCTGCACAATTATTCAAATGATCAAAATTGAAAATTATATCTATGTAAATCAATGTAAATTAACCAAAAATTAAGAAACCGATGAAATTTGACCAAAATGATGTTTTTATGTTATTTACACTTCATAAGTCTACTTTTTCTATTAAGGAACACTAAAATGACAAATAAAAATCTAATAAAATGTGGATTCATCATCGTGCTTAAGGCCTTGCACGGCCGTGCTCATCTGCGAGAAACCCAATTATGAAAAATCTTTAGGGTTTTCAAAACCTATTAAAAGGAAGACCTAAGGCATCATTAAGGGAATTGTTTTTACATCTTGGCTTTGGCTCTAAAATACATCTGATCTCGTCTCTCTTGCACGGGATCCTTGGCACAAGCTTGGCGAGACTAGGAGCTTCGAGCGATCGTACTTGAAGACCGGGAACACATCTCACACTCTAGTTTGCTATTTCTTTTTATTATGGCTTTGTTTATGATTTTTTTAGTTCTTTTCTTTAGCATGAGTAACTAAGTCCATAGCTAGGGCTATGGGAACTTGTTCATGAATATACGGAATTTTGATATTTGAATTTAAATTTGATTTCCATTTTGTGATTAGATTTTATCCTATTGCGTTTCTTTCTTAATCCTAATTAATTATATCGTCAGGCGACCGTACCTCGGTTAATTAATAGAGTTATAGGGTAAAACGAGATAAAGGATTAGGTGGACTAAACCAATCTTTCTCTTCTAATCGTTATTAAATTAACAAGTTCATAGGTTCCTCAAGCTTTCTCAAATTGATGTCTTGCATGACCATTGGGGATATTAATTTAGAGAAAAGAATATTAATATTGCATGACCATTGGGTCTTAATAGTATTTGTATGAATGATTGGTAATCACAAGGAAATTAGATTTAGAGTTAAACAAAAGAATAACATAAAGGATTGAATGAGAAAACCCATATGCCCTAGGTTCCTCTCCAATAAGTTTAACCAAGACGTGCATTTGTATTCCTTACTCTTAGTTCTTAGTTTTATAATTGATTTTATAAATTCTTGTTTCTAATTAATCTCGTATCTTTGAAGCTTAAACAATTGAATTAAGAAATTCTTAGTAATTGGAAAACAATCCTTGTGGGACGATATTTCGGGAACTTAATTGAAGAACCCTGTATTACTTCTCGAGGGGTACACTTGTCCTCCGAACAAGTTTTTGGCGCCGTTGCCAGGGATTGCTTTTTCAATATTTAGAAAATCTCAAGTTTAATTGATTTGAGCAATTTGTGTTTTATTTTAATTTTGTTTTGTTTATTGTTAAATTTTTCTTTTATATTTTATAATTTTCGTTTTTATTTTATTTTAATTTTTTTTTTAGTTTACAATTTCTTTTAATGTATGTTCACTCGTTCTAAGTGCTCTACAGCTTGTTTATTTGATTCAGAGATTGAAAGAACAGTTTGTAGATAAAGAAAAGAAGTGAGAGAGCCAAGAATGGCAGAAGGAAGGAGATCAATTCAAGATTACATGACACCCACTGTTAGAGGCACCCCTGGAAGCATCGCAGCTCCTAATGTGGAAGCCAATAATTTTGAGTTGAAACCAGCACTCATAACCATGGTTCAGAATTCCATACAGTTTGGGGGCATGCCTAACGAACTCCCCAATCTACATCTAACAAAGTTCCTCCGATTGACGGACACCATAAAGTACAATGGAGTTTCCAACGATGCTATTCGACTCTGTTTTTCCCGTTCTCGATATTTGAAAAGGTGAATGCTTGGTTCGCCTCACTCCCAGCCAACTCCATCACAACTTGGGAAGACCTCACT